TCGCCCTTGATTTTTTTGTGGGAATGTTTTTTGTTGACAGAGTGTTGATCCTCCAAGGTTACTATCATAATCTTCTTGGTTTTTTTCTTTTGGACAAATGAGTTCCTGAAAAATCACCACAAGAAAATATCACCTAAGGACTGCAACATCATGACCTTCAAGAGAAATAGTTCATCTCATTAGTATGCTATTGTAACTATAAAATCTAAGCAATTATAAAGTGTAATACCGATTTAGAAGGCAAAGCAGAAAATATTAATTTTTTATAATAAATATTAAACTGAATAAAAAAAGTTATTAAATCTACAATATCATAAGCTGATTTGAATTAAATAATAGTTTTCTTGTGAAAGTTATATTAATTTAAAATAAGGCATGAAGCAATTTAAAGAAATATATTAAAAATTGGAAAAAAATTCATAATAAGCCATGAAGCAATTTAAAGAAAGATATTAAAAATTGACTGTCATAAATTTGCAATAATTGACATACCATTTAAGACAAGTAATTGATGGCAAAATAAGGTAATCAACATATCAACTTGCGCAAGTAATTGATAACAAAATAGGGCAAGTTATTAATAAACAGATTAACTAATTAAAAGCTTTTACCAACAAGGTATATCTTTCCTAATACCATAATATGAGTATAAAATTAAAGAATAATAAATAGTTTTGATTTTGATATATTGTAAATCTGTAGAAATATATAACACAATCCCATAGAAACCTGCAAAGAAAATGTAATAAAAATTTTAAATATAACCCATAAGTAATATAAAATAAGAAGAACAGTTATGAATTAAAAATATCCCATAGAAACCTGCAAAAAAATTGTCAAATTTGGTTAGCAACTGTACAATATAAAATAATTTAATAGATTTCTAAATTTTATTGAGACAAAAATAATATTAAATTTGCATATCGCTATTGAAACAAACTGAAAAATGGTTTGTAGTTAACTACAACAGGTCTTTCGTCTGTGCTATTTATCTGTTAATAGAAAAAACAAACAAATGTAAGAATTTATAAATTTAAATTTTTTTATCGAATAAAAATAGACTAACAAGTTAGTATTGACATCCCTTAGGTGTCTCCTTTATATATACTCCACCTCCCTATTTTCTTATGTTATTAGGGAGATATTTTCATAACAAATGATGTTTAGGAAAATAATTTCATAAGAAATAATGAAACAGTCCAAAGAAAAATATTAAAGTTATATTGTCATTAAATGATTTACAATTAATATGTTATAAACTTGTGCAATTAAATCATATTCAAAATAAGGTAAGTTTTTAAAAACGAATTAACAAATTAGAAACATTAAGGTAAATTGCATTAAAACAATGTAATAAATATGATTTGAAGTTGCACAAGTAATATGTGTTCAAAATAAGTTTATAAAGACGAATTAACAAATTAGAAACATTAAGGTAAATTGCATTAAAACAATGCAATAAATATAATTTGAAGTTGCACAAGTAATATGTGTTCAAAATAAGGTAGGTTATTAATAAACTAAAAACGTTAAGGTAAATTACGTTTAAACTATAGATATTTAAATATTAAATGATATATAATAAGGAAAGAATAAATATAAAAAGTAGTTGATATAACTTTTTCATTAATAAATCTTACTATATATATATATTTAATTTTAATTAAAAAGATCATATAATTGCAAACCAAAAAAATATATCAATTTTAATTAAAAATATCATAAAACAAAATCACAATCAGCAAACCAAAGAAATATATATGTATATATAAGCTTATAATTCTAATTGATAATATAAATCTACTAATCAAAAAAAAAAGTATTGGCAGCACAAAAAGATGCTATTGAAATGATATAGCTGACAGATGTTATCAAATAGAGAATTTTTTTTACCAGATTGAGGAACAAAGATGTTATCGAAATGATATATCAAAGAGGTGTACAATCAAATCATATATAGCTTCAGTGGAGAAATCATCATAATAGGATATCTGCATATAAACCAAAAGAAAAATCAGCTCTCAATTTATTCACGAGATGATATAGCTGAGAGATGTTATCAAATAGAGAATTTTTTTTACCAGATTGAGGAACAAAGATGTTATCGAAATGATATATCAAAGAGGTGTACAATCAAATCATATATAGCTTCAGTGGAGAAATCGTCATAATAGGATATCTGCATATAAACCAAAAAAAAAAATCAGCTCTCAATTTATTCACGAGATGATATAGCTGAGAGATGTTATTAAATAGAGAATATTTTTTACCAGATTGAGGAACAAAGATGTTATCGAAATGATATATCAAAGAGGTGTAAAATCAAATCATATATAGCTTCAGTGGAGAAATCGTCATAATAGGATATCTGCATATAAACCAAAAGAAAAATCAGCTCTCATGAAATATAAAAGCTTAATGTTCTAAAATAAGAAGAAAACCAAATTCAGAACATTATTAACATAAAAAGTTCAGAATATAAAGTTCAATGATTTCATTTCTTCTACTGTGAATGTCTTATTTATAGTAAACTGATGGACGTTTCTCAATGATTTAGCTTGCATGATAAGCTAAGAAGTAACATATTCTCTAATAACTTCTCAATAAATCTTATACTTTTAAAGTAATATTATTTTTGGAATATCTTGTTGATAAAGCTAAAGGAGAACATCTCGTGAGAAAATATTGGTTTTAAGAGAAAATATCTTATCAATTAATTTTGTTTTAAATGCATGATTTTAAAAGTGAAAATATCTTGTCAATTAATTTTGTTTCTTTGACATCTAAAATATTTAATGAGTATTTAATGAATTAAACAGAGAAAGGATCGCAAAAGGATGTTCTTTGAATCGAGAAAACACAAAAGATAAGTATTTAAATGGATTTTCTTTTTAGTAGTGTCGATGGTAAAAATAAATCAAAAAATAAATTGTAAAAAATCAACCAATAGAATCACTAGAATTCTTCTGAGAAGGGCCGTGTGAAGCCACATGTCAAAGTGACTTCTCTTTTAATGTATAGGGGGATATTAAACAGAATAAAATCTGGGTTCACCTCAAAGGTGAATCCAAAAATTTACTCCACAATTAGTTACAAATCAAATTGCCATATAGAATGAGTAAAAAACATTAAAAAAAGAAGTAAAATAGATTTAAAAGAAAAAAAGAAAGATTTAGACTTAACACCACCGAAAATATAGCTGTTTCTGGTTTGGTATTCATGACAACGCACTACAATGATAAGGACGAGGATCACGGCTATAAGTGATCCAACGTCGACAAAGTGAAGAGCCGTGCCCCAATGCTTCATTATGAAGATATAATTATTGGCTCTGTTTTGTTCTACGTTGGCCACTAGAGGAAGAGAACATCTATGAAAGGAAAGGAAGAACATATAGAGTTGAGAAAAATGCAGCTAAACGAAGAACTTAGCCAAAACAGAATCGTGTTATAAAGATACAAAGTTTTTCTTCAAGAGGTTATGACCAGAAGAAGGGCCTAAAACCAGTTCATTTTACTCTGATTTACCTGCTAATGTAGATCATGTTGTATAAATGCTTGTTTTAAGCTACTTGGACTAGTTTATTTTCTAACCCTTATATATGGTTTCTACTTTCTACACATATGAATGAATAAGAGTATACACATTGACATAAGTTACAACATGTACATGGATAAAAACAACCCACATAATTACTAGATTGGCTTGTCCTTTGACAGCTAAATCAGTCACAAATCGAAGTGTTTATCGAGACCAAAGGGACAATCACCACCGTTCTGTTTTGTGTCTCTCACCACAGTTTCTCTTCTGCAACGAGACCAACGGGACAATCACAATCCGTATCACAAGTATGGGATCCGTAGCTCGATTAGGATTTGTCCATAAGGCAGATATCAAGGGCAAAGGAATCCTCTATGAGGATGATGATTCTCCAATCAAGTTGCTTGATCAAGACGATTCCTTTGTTATCAAAGAACCCTGTATGTCCCTGATCGGAAAAGTACTAAACCATAGGAAGCAAAACGTCATTAAGTTGATCGAGAAGATGCCTACTCAATGGGGTGTACAAGATCGGATTACAGAAAATGACTTGGGGAACATGAAGTTTCTCTTTAACTTCTCCTCTGGAGAAGATTTGAACCATGTCTTGCGCCAAGGACCTTTTCACTTGAATTTCTATATGTTCGTGTTAGTGCGCTGGGAACCTATTGTTCGTGATGATTATCCATGGATTATTCCATTATGGGTTTCAATAGTCGAGGTGCCATTGCATCTATGGACAGACATGAATCTGAGGAACATAGGTGGACGGATTGGACAAGTCGACACCATCGAACTAACAGAGGGACGTATAGTAATATATGTTGATTCTAGGAAGCCTTTGAAGTTCAAGAGACAAGTGCAATCACCTGAGGGGGATGAGGTTTCCATTGAAATCAAATATGAGATGTTGTTTAAACACTGTACTACTTGTGGCCTTATATCACATGACAAAGGTCAATGCTTGGTTGAACCTCGCGACAGTACTGGAGCTGGAAGGGGAGATCTGTTTTGCGTGTGCAAGTGCCTCACGATCAGACCTTCCATCCATTATATGAGGACAACGCTCACAATAATGTTGCCAATCCTAGACATATCCCTTTTGACAACAAGAACAGGAAATACCAACATAGCAGATCTTTATCTAGCTATGGACAAAGAAAGAATGACAAAGCTGATGTAGGCCGCAACGGAGATGTTAAACGCTCAAGTTTTTACAAGTACAGGATCATGCAATCCCGTGATGAATGTAAGACACATCGATATGGAGAGACTCTTCAAAGAACTGGCCCTTACATGAGAAAGAATGAACACTTTTGGCGTGAGAAGTCAAGGAATGGAAAATCAATGGAAGCGATGGTTGAGAGACAAGGAAGATCTTCTACACCTCTAGGAGATCATGATGTTGTTCCCTATGTGCAATCTGATATTTCAATGTCCCCGCAAAAGCTGCAATTTCCATGACTCGAAATGACATTGATGAGAGGAAGGAGAGTGCCTCAAGGAAGCGTCTTGCGAGTGCTATTGTATCTCCAATTGGCACCTCTCATGTGCATGAGGGGAACATCACCATTCGAGCTAAAGGTTCAACTAGAGCTCTTACCTTTTCCCCCATGAGACTTTAAGTAGAAGTTAATTGCTTGGAGAATGATCAAATGATAGGAGCCTTGAATGATATGGAAAACGTGGAGCAGTCTGAAGGTGGGATGCTGGAGTGCGATGGTCAAGAATTTGATTTATTGGGGGAAGAACTCAAGGAAATGGTGGAGACTCACGTCCGGTCAGTCTCAAAGAGGTCATGAGAAGAATACGAGCCGCCGACATAAGGGGAAGAATGGAGGTCGCGTTTCAAAAAAGAGTGATGGTTTGATGGGTTTCAACACTACAGAAAATGTGAGTATTAATAGCATCTTATAGTGCTTTTGATATTTCTGCTATCGTATACCAACACATACTCTTCTAATAGCGTTTGTCAATTTAAAACGCTATGTTATAATCGCGGAAAAATAAAAAAATTTAGCCGCCTTAATTTACTAAGTGTTGGCTCTAGCAATTAAAAAAAAAAATACTACGACCAAAACATTTATCAGATTGACTGAGATAGCTTTGTATTGTTTCTCCACCCCTCTCTCTCAAACTCGTCGTCTCCATATCTACTCTGTAGTGTTTGACGGTTAGTTTGGGGGTTATTAGGTTTGGGTTTCGATTTGTCTTGACCATTTGTTTCTGGGTGTTACGATTTTGTTAACAATTGTCGCAGCCTCTACCATCTCCTCAGCTCTTGCCGGCGTTGACTCACTTCCAGTGAGTACTTGCTTGAGCTTTCTCCATCTCTCTCGATCTCGATCTCTCTCCATCTCTCTCAATCTCGAGATCGTTCTCCATCACGAGCCCTTTATCTATCTTAAGCTCTCTCTTCTCCTCCGATGCAGACCACCACGAGCTATCTCCGACAAACCCATCTCAACCCATCTCCAAAGTCTCTCTCGCTGTGAGGTAACTGTTTCTTTGACGTTTACTTCAATGGATTGGTCTTGTATGCTTCAAGTGATGAAGGTCAACAGGTATCACATTTCTGGCCTTTACATTTTGATGGATAACAATTTCTGTTTGATGAACATGATTCTCTGGACAGTGATACTTTGTGTAATGTAAGAAAAACTCTGTTTAAGCTTGATAGGTAAGATAAGATGATCAACATATCAAAACCAGTAAGCTCTCTGTTTCATAGGTTTTAAGATGGTTTTTTTCCAGAGGTTTAAGCTCTATAAGATCTCAAGTAGCTTCTTGATCAGATTCATCTAATGTGTTCATTCCGATGAAAATTGATGTTTGCAAGGTATTAGAGAGTCTTTGATTGATTATTTTTGTTATGTGACTACATTATTTGAGCATTTGTGATCTCTTTCCAAGTGGGTTTAAGTCACAGAACGTGTACTGTCATTTGCCAGCTTCTAAAGGTCTGTTCATTGCTTATTCTTTCTGTTTTTCCTTTTCCAGGTCTCAGGCTCTCTCATATGAGACTCTCTCAAAGCTTAGACCCTCTCAAAGCTCAGGTCTCAGGTTGTTTGAATGCTTCTTGAAAGCACCTTGCTTATGTGATAACTTATCTAATTTCTTCCTGGTGTAAAGGTCTGTTATGTTATGTGACTACATTATTTGAGCATTTGTGATCTCTTTCCAAGTGGGTTTAAGTCACAGAACGTGTACTGTCATTTGCCAGCTTCTAAAGGTCTGTTCATTGCTTATTCTTTCTGTTTTTTTTTCAGGTCTCAGGCTCTCTCATATGATACTCTCTCAAAGCTTAGACCCTCTCAAATCTCAGGTCTTAGGTTGTTTGAATGCTTCTTGAAAGCACCTTGCTTATGTGATAACTTATCTAATTTCTTCCTGGTGTAAAATGTTTATAGGTGGTTCGGAAGGTGTATTTGCGGAAAAGACTCTAGAGATCGCAGATGATATACTCCAGACTTACAAAAACCAAGGTAAGTTCTTTGATGAAGGGATTGTCGTGGTATACTAAGAATCTTTTTCAGTACCTTATTCTGATAAGTTGGCGATGAAATGTATGTTTTAAGGTGGGTATGATTTGCTGCGAAAAACCAAGGATAAGATCAGAACCACTGAGCAGGTTAATGCTGCACTCAAAGCTTGCACTGATTTGAAGCTAGATGGCCTTGTTATCATTGGAGGTATACCTAACGTCTTTATTTATATCATTGGAAAAATAAATTTTGTACTAAACTAAGATTTTATATTGGGGCTTTCTGAAGGTGTGACATCAAACACCGATGCTGCTCACCATGCTGGTTTTTTCGCTGAAGCAAAGTGCTCAACAAAGGTCCTAATCTGTTCTTTATCACCATATCAGATATCCCCGCAAAAGCTGCAATTTAGTGTTTATCATTAACCCAAGGGTTTAGGATTAGAGTTTAGGTTTAGTGTTTATGTATTACCCAAGGGTTTAGGATTAGAGTTTAGGGTTTAGTGTTTATGATTTACCCAAGGGTTTATGATTAGAGTTTAGGGTTTAATGTTTTAGTGTTAAAATATTTTTCTTTTTATAAAAGTTATTCAACGGTTTATGATTTGCCCAGAGGTTTAGGGTTTAGGATTAGAGTTTATAGTTTAGTGTTAAAATATTTTCTTTAAAAAATAATTTCTGTTTTATTAATTATTTTTTTGTATTTTTATTTTTAAAAACATAATATAACTTAACAAGATTTTGTTTTCTTTTTTAAAAGATATCAAATATGAAATAATGCAATTATATTGGATGACCCTATATAATCACTAGCTTCCTCAAGAAATAGATTTTACAAACACTCTTCTTTCTCTCTCGTAAGCGAAAACAAATCCACAGATCTAGGGTTTCTTTTTCTGCATTGTTTTCTTCCTCTTTTCGTTGCTCCTGTGTCGATTTCGTTCTCTTTCTGTTGCAAATCCAAAAACTAGGGTTTTAGCAATGACGACAACAACAAGTATGATGAGTCGCGATCAGTGGTTCTTATCTTCTTCCTCATAAAAATCTGATTGTGCGGCAGCGTTAAAGATTAGGTTTGCAGATATAATTGTGAAGTAGAGTAGTAACAAGTCCGAGGCTTTGATGACGATCACAAGGGAGAAGGAGTTTCTAGAAAGGAGTCAACTTGAAGATTAAGCAATGATGGAAGAAAGGATCAAAATCAGACAAGAGGAAAGACTTGCGTTAATAAAATTGGAAGAAGAAGCAATATCAAAGCGTGAGTCCGAACAAGGTTCCTCAATTACCGAGAAAGAACTGATAAATCTCATTGGCTGCTCCCGCAAGGCAAGAGATCAATCTTTGCTTAAACAGTTCGGGTTGGTTTTAAAAACTAATATTGATGATGATCTTCTTAATGATCTTGAAGAAGGTGAAATCTTTTAGAGTCTAGCTAGTGATATCATGACTATCGAATAGATCAAATCTTTTGCATATAAACTGAGTTTGGGTTGGTTCTGACAAGTGATGTTGATGATCTTGAAGAAGGTTCAATCTTTTAGAGTCCAGTAGTGTCTTCGCAATTGAATCATAGTGAAGTTTGCATATAAATAGAGTTTGGGTTGGTTTTAACAAGTGATGATCTGCTTGGCGATATTGATGATTTTAGAGTCCTAGTATTCTGACAATGTGTTTTTTTCTCTCTGTTTATGATTTAGGAGACATGTCTACTTATTCAAAGGGTATGATGGTGTAGAATTGTTTGATGGCTAACTGGTCTTTTTTTCTCTATAAAAAAAAGTCTTGATTGTTTACTTGTTTCTCTTCTTTTTTGATTGACTGTCAAACTCGTTAGATCCATTCAGAGTTTCCCGTTTTCTTGGCTTCATCATACATGACAAATGACTTCGAACATGTAAGTTAATTAAGTTACTCATCGTCTACTTCAACATATTTTTTGACCATATAACATAAACTTGATTTGACTGCTCAATTCATTGCTTAAGTTTCTCTGGCTATTACACTAACACTAGTGGACATTGCCTTGCATTCGTTGGTTCTGTTTTGATTTGGTCCTTTCATCCTTTGTTCTTTTTCTTTTTGTTTCAATGAATTTTTGTGAGGTCAAATGGCTTATCGTATCCCACATTTTGTAGTGATACTTAACCATATGCATGTAAGCAGCCATTCAGTGGCTAAATGTAGCAATTATGAGGAAAGGCTGATTATCTTCTGTCAACATGGGTGTAATCCGACTCTGTTTCATATTTACCAGTAGTATCGTGACTGTCGAAAAAATCGAATCTTTTGCATATAATAGTTTGGGTTGGTCTTAACAAGTGATGATGATGATGATATCCTGACAAACGTGAAATCATTTAGAGTGTCATATCCATGTGAATGATTAGGAAACATATTTTTACTGGATGATCGTGTATAATTGTGCGATGGGTAATTGGTCTTTGTGTTCTTTATAAAAAAAGTATTGAGTTTTACTTTGCTTTCTCTTCTTTCTGACTGTTTCAAGTCATTGCTCAAGCTTCTCTAGACATTATCTCATGTTCGTTGGTTCTGTTTTGTTCCTTTGTAGTTCTCTTGATGTTTTCTTCTTTCTGTTTTCAATTAGTTTTGCTATATGTTATCGGTCAAATGGCTTCTCGCTTGCATGTAAGCAGCCAATCATTGTCTAAATATAGCAATTATGAGGAAAGGCTGATTACACTGTCTTCGGTCAAAATTGGTATAACCGAACTCTGTTTCTTATTAAGTATATTTTATTGTCTAACTGCTTATGTTTCGTGTTCATGAACTGTGGCAGATCTTCGAGACAAACACTTCTTCAGTGACCACCCTGTTCCTATACCTATTACCAATGGCTCAGGTAACACATAAGTTTCTTTCAGTTTTACTACGTTCATTAATCCTTGTGGTACAACCAGATGCGATCTTGAACAGCATTCAAAACTTTTTTTGCATCAGTTACTATAATAATACTCGTTTTAATTGTGTTTACGTTAACATGGGGTACTAATATTTCAAGTGTATTCTTCCTTAGGCTCTCAAAACCAGCATCATATTTCTGCATAACCATACTACACTCAAGGTTGCACATTTAGTCAAATCTGTTTTTTAACATTCAGTTGGCTAATTGAACAAACGGCCTATTAGCTCAGTTGGTTAGAGCGTCGTGCTAATAACGCGAAGGTCACAGGTTCGAAACATGTATGGGCCACTTCAATTTTCGTTTTTTGGCAGATATACGAACGAACACCATGTTTGCCTTTTTTTGCGCCCCTTAAGACATCAGGTGGTGTATGAGCTTTACTTCAGGACGGCAAATCAGTAATATTTGCCATGCTCCAGCAGCCAAGCAAACTTGGGTTGAGAATCGATCGAGGTAGTTAAGCTGTTCCTTCCATATATGATATATCTGTCGTTGTTTCTTCCACTTATATGTCGTGAGATCAAGAACTCTGTTGTCAACCACTATGATAAACACAAGGTTCTTCATTACTTGTATATTTGAAAGCTGTACTCTCAGTGATTCAGCGAAATTATGTTGTGAATCAAAAGTTGTTTCCGTCCTTGTCTCAATTGACTCATGTCATCTCCTTCCAGTTTGATTCTTCAACAGCCTGGTCACAATTTCCATTTTTTTTAATCCGGACCACCTAAGTTTTGCGAAACTTTATCTAAATTATCCGTTGTTTTTATATGAATCTAAAAGAAAACTGAATTAGACCCAATTCGAACCCAAATAGTTTTGGATAATAGTTGATTCCTAGTTTAATATCAATTAACTACGTTTGGTGCTGGGAAACGGGTCAAACTCGCCTCGCCCGACCAGCAAAGAAAATATATTTTATCTATATCATTCCCACTTAATTTTGCAGGTAATCTGCGAGACACGTGGATAATTATTAAATAATAAAACTAATTATTTTTAAATTTTTCTAAAAAAATAATCTGAAATAGTAATAATTAAATTTTTAATATTAAAAAATAGAATTATTTTTAATGAAATTTAGTTTATTTTTAAAAAATAGATTTAAAAAGTTATTATTTTTACGGATTACCGGGTACCCGCAATTGAAATTAGAAGAACCGGCATCCTTCCCGCAAAAAATACACTTGACCCGCACCCACAACTTAAAGTTTTCCAAATCGATCGACCTGCTCCGTGGCGCTGATGTGTTTATTTCTGAAAGGAACTTCAGAAATAATTAGAAAGTAAATTTAGCCCATTAATAAGACTCATTATTATATTGTTTTTAGGCCCAAAAGATTATATTGCCATTAATGAAAAGAATATTTTATTCATATCATTAAAAGTAATTTTGGAAAACATAAAAAAACTTATTAAAAATAATATTTTTGGTTTAATGGTATTGATATAAACAGAATCTAGCAGTTGACTATGAATTTGTATTTCTCTTTTTTTTTCAAAAAATAAAGTCATTTTTAAATTTAGTTCACTTTTTTTTTTCCATACTTAATTCCCAATTCGTTTACATTTATTCATTAAGCTATCCCTTAAAATCCATAAACTTATATATAAATAAGATAAAGTGATTATACATAAAATTCGACCAACTATTTTTGTTAAGTGAATAATCCCAACACCCAAAAAAGAACACAAACAATTTTATTTGATCGTATGATATCATACTGGACCCTTTGAATTTGCATAAGTAACTAGTCTATACAATCAAGTACTTAAACTATGAAATAACATGAAATTATGAATAAGGTATCTTTTTGTTAGATGAGGTACTCTATAAATATGAGAAACATGATTAACCTCTGTTTCTTACAGCAGCTAAGGAAGAAACAACTTAGAGTATATTATGTATCTTGTGACTGCTATTGACACAATTTAGTTTTTTATGATAATTTTTGTAACGTGCACATCCATTGTCTTCTCACTTCTGTTACTGAAATAAGTAAACAATTGAGCTATAATTACTATGCCGATCATTAAGAACACTTTATACTCTCTCTTTTATTTTAACACTTTATACTCTGGAGCCAAACTGATCAATAACAAAATCCCAAAGAAAAGATACTAGTAGGCATTTGTACCAATACAAATGTGGGTAAAAGAAAATCAAAGACCTATTGATCTTCATAAAACTTCTGAATGAGGCGAAATCTGACAACACATGGCACTACTAATAAACGTCTAAACAGAAACCATCGTGAAACAGTGAGCAATGCATAACTCCTCTGACTAGAACCAAGAACAAACTGAACATGGATGACAAGTACACAGAAGCGTCACCATCGAACTCCAACGAACCAGAGAAGCAAAGCAGTCATAAGACTCAACACCAAACTTAAAAACAAGAAACTGAATCAACTACGAATAGCAAAGCCTAAACAAGGATGAATGGCAGCAAAGAACTAAATCGGCACAAATGACAGACCATACATGATTCTGTTGCAAAAGAATCTCATGGTAAAAGAGTTCTTCAACTCAAAGTTCTGTTTGGGCAATTTGTTGGAAACTTTTACGAAATGATTTTAGAATGAACAACTCTATATCAAGATCTAGTCGTTTTTCTTTGAATGTTGTGATAGACTTTAAAGAACAGCTTGATATGGGTTTACTCACACTGCCAAAGTAACCGCTTGACGTAGTGATGAATAATCTTCACTACCTCTAATTCGTTATGCGCCTCATAATGCACATGCAGGTACAGGCTTGCATACCTGAACAAATACACAACCATCATCTTTCACAACTAATGTTTTTTTTTCTGAAGAATAAGCTTAGTATATAAAAATTGACTATTTATGTTTCTACCTCTCTGATCTTTGTAGGTTGATGAAAAGCCTAGCTTGGATCATCTACTTGACAAGATCAAGCAGCTATAAGCGTAGTGTCTTGTTACTAGCGTTTTCTGTGAAGAGAATATGCTTGGACACTTCAGAGCTTGGTCAATCCTCCTAAATAAATAAAGAGAATCAATTGAGTGGTAAAAAATGTGTAGGATGACTTGTCTAACGAGAATCTGAAAAACTGAGCACAATCAAACCAACATCTTAGCTGAAGAATAAGGATATATGAATGGATTTAAGGAGTCTGAAAGCAGCCAAAAAGAAGAGAATTAGAACTTGTTGGTTTTACCATCTCTGTACTTATAACAGAGGAATCAACAGACTGAAAATCAATCCGCAATGGTAAATCAAAACCAACAAGCTTTTTTTAAGAAACAAAACCTTTACTATCACTTGTAAGCATATATTCGTAGATTATACAGAAAAAAAAAATTTATATGCAAACTTTGCTATGAAGCCAAGAAGACAGAGCCAACATCTTTGCGAAAGAATCTGTGAATGGATTTAACAGAGTAGTCAAAAAGAAGAGAAGTAAAAATCAAGACTTTTATATAGAGAAACAAAGACCAAATAGCCATCAAACAAATTTATACAATGATCACAGGAATACAGAGAAAACAAATATCTAGACTCTAAACGATTACACCTTCTTCAAGAATCAAGATCATCACGCATCACTTGTTAAAACCAACCCAAACTCTATTTATATGCAAACTTCACTATGATTCAATTGCGAAGACACTACTGGACTATAAAAGATTGAACCTACTTCAAGATCAGCAACATCACCATGTCAAAACCAACCTAAACTCTGTTTATATGCAAAAGATTCGATCTTTTTTCAATAGTCATGATACCACTAGCTAGACTCTAAAAGATTCCACCTTCTTCAAGATCACTAAGAAGATCATCATCGATATTAGCTTTTAAAACCAACCCAAACTGTTTAAGCAAAGATCGATCTCTTGCCTTGCGGGAGCCGCCAATGAGATTTATCAGTTCTTTCTCGGTAATCGAGGAATCTTGTTCGAACTTACGCTTTGATCTTGCTTCTTCTTCCACCTTTATGACCGCAAGCCTTTCCTCTTGTCTGATTTTCATTCTTTCTTCCATCATTGCTTTCTCTTCAAGTTGGTTCCTTTCTAGAAACTCCTTCTCCCTTGTGATCTTCATCAAAGCCTCGGACTTGTTGCTACTCAACTTCACAATTATGTCTGCAAATCTAATCTTTAACGCAGCCGCACGATCAGACTTTGACAAGGAAGAAGACAAGAACCAAGGATCCCGACTCATACTTGTTACTGTCGTCATTGGTAGAGAGAATGAAATCGAAGAGTAACTAAAAGCAAGAAGACAACGAATCAGAGAAATAAACCCTAAATTTGGGAGTGTTGTTGTTGTCTTGCGAGAGAAGAGTGTAAGCAAAAACTATTTCGTTAAGGATCTGAGTGCGTTTATAAAGATTGCGTTTGTAGCGATTTCCTTTTTTCAGGATCAAATCATTTATTAATGCATTGGTTATTTCCTTTTTTCCTAAAATTTAGCCGTTGATAATTACTTTTTTTTTTCTTTAAACTCAAGTTAAAAATTACAGATGCTTCCTATTTTATTGATTTTCAACATAATTTCATAATATTAAACATAATAAAATCTGGGTTCACCCAAATGTGAATCCAAAAATTTACTTCACAATTAGTTACAAATCAAATTGCCATATAGAATGAGTAAAAAACATTAAAAAAAAGAAGTAAGGTGTGAAAAGACCGAATCGTGATAATGGGTGCAACAGAAAAAGCGACAAGAAAACGGTTTCGATTTTTTCAGTTTCTCGCCACTCTCTGGGTGGTTGATGATGTTTTCGACAACATCGGGGAGGTTTCCTCATCGATTCCAACCACGATGTCTACCATCTCCACGACACATCGTGTATGTGTTTGTGATGTTGTAACTGCTAAGCGGTTTTGGAGTGAAATGCTTTATAAGCAATTCTCAGAGAGGAATTTTCTTTATCAATTCTTTTCTGTTCTCGTACCAAAGAAGACTTATTTGCTTTGGTGTTTCACTAAATTACTAGAATCAATGGCTGACAACATACGAAGAGCTTTACAAGATGTTACACTTGGTGCTGACGATGCCCCTTTTGCTTTACCGGTGGATGTGGTTCGACAGGCAGAAGAGGAGAATCGTTTCATTCTCATTGGGCGTCCTGTGATGCCAAGAAAACAAAATCTCCGTGCAATCATTACAACTATGCCGCGTCATTGGGGTTTGGAAGGTGTTGTTCGTGGAAGGGTAACCGAAGGAAGACGGCTTAGGCACAGACTCGACGGTTCGACGCCTAAAGGAGATAAATAGAAAATATCTCCTGGACATTCTGTGTTTGTCAGAAACAAAACAACAAGCAGACTATGTACGTGATGTAGGTGCTCAGTTAAGATTTCCCAATTCTGTAATAGTGCCACCGGTTGGTGTTAGTGGTGGTTTGGTTCTTTTCTTTAAGCAATCTGTTCAACTACGAGTGATTAGTCAGTCAGCTCACCTTGTCGATCGTATTGTTGATTTTAATGGAATGGTTTTCAATTACTCCTTTGTCTATGGTCACCCTAATCCTTTGCTGCGACATCATACTTGGGAGAAGCTAACAAGACTCAGCCTTAACAGAAGGAATCAACCATGGTTTCTGTTGGGTGATTTCAATGAAATCCTTGGTAATTATGATAAAGAGGGAGGACGTATGAGACCTGAGGCTTCATTTCAGGAATTCAGACAAATGATGAGAACTTGTCAATTAACAGATCTGCAGTTTGTGGGAAATAAACTCTCATGGGTGGGACAGAGAGGAACATTTAGTGAAATGTGCTCTAGATCGAACCATGGCTAATAATGCCTGGTTTGATATGTTTCCGGCATCTCAAACTGAGTACTTGGAGATTGGTGAATCAGATCACAGACCCTTGGTGACATTTATAAGTACAGAACGTGAGGAACCTAGGAAAAGCTTTCGTTTTGATAGTCGCATGCTTGACAAGGAAGGATTCTCAGACTCTGTTAAACGTGGGTGGCAAGGAACATGACAAAGTCAATTTGTACAGACTTCATTGAGTCAGAGATTAACTCGATGCAGATATCATATATCACGGTGGAAAAGAACCAACAGAAACAATGCACAGGAGAAGATTAGTACGTTGAGAGCGTTGTTGGACAATGCTATGACTTCTGCTACCTATACTCAGGAAAGAAGATCACAACTTAAAGAAGATTTAAACCAGGCGTATGTAGATGAAGAAATATACTGGAAGCAAAAGAGCCGAATTAATTGGTTAAGATCTGGTGATCGCAATACCAAATACTTTCATGCGGTAACAAAAGGAAAGAGGGTTAGGAATACCATTTCATCTATTCAAGACAGCATGGGAGTTGTTTACAGAGGACATAAGGAGATTGCAGGAGTGGCAATAAACTATTTCCAAGATCTATACTCATCTGAGCAAATAAATCCAGAGCTGGCTGCTAAAGTTTTCCAAGATTTCGATAAAAGAGTTACTCCAGAAATGAATCAAGACCTCATTCGACCTATTACTGAAGAGGAGGTTCATATAGCAGTTATGGACATCGGAGCTCACCGTGCACCTGGTCCTGATGGTTTTACAGCAATATTTTTTCATAATTATTGGGAGGAAATAAAAGAAGATGTGATGAAGGAGATAACAGAGTTCTTTGAAACTGGAAAACTAGACCCGAAGATCAGTCACACCAACATATGTTTGATACCAAAGGTTTACCTCCAAATGGTATGAAGGAATTTCGACCAATTGCTTTATGTAATGTCTCATACAAGATCATTACAAAAGTATTGGTGAGCAGACTTAAGAAGTACCTCAGCCTCATTATCTCAGAGAATCAAAATGCTTTTATCCCAGGAAGAATGATCTCCGACAACATTGTAATAGCCCATGAGATTTTTCACTGTCTTAAAGTCAGAAAGAGACAAGCTACTTCGTACATGGCGGTTAAAACAGACATCACGAAGGCATATGATAGATTGGAGTGGGAATTCCTTCAAAAGACAATGATACATATGGGGTTTGATGATCGATGGATAGGCTGGATCATGACTTGTGTCACAGCGGTTAAATATTCAGTCTTAATCAATGGATCACCTGAAGGTTTTATCACTCCAGCTAGAGGACTTCGCCAAGGAGATCCTCTGTCCCCATATCTTTTCATCTTGTGTGCTGAAGTACTTTCTCATCTTATGACACAAGAAATGAGAAATAGAAGCTTGATGGGTGTTAGGATTTCAAATAATGCTCCGGCTGTGAACCACCTTTTGTTTGCAGATGACTCGCTCTTCTTTTCACTGGCAAATGAAAAAGCTGCAGAGAAACTTAAAAGCATCCTCCAAACTTATGAAGAAGTATCAGGTCAGGCGATAAATTTAAACAAATCCTCTGTTACTTTTGGCGCGAAAGTGAATGCAACAGTTAAGACTAAACTGCGTCACTTACTGGGAATTCATAATGATGGGGGGATAGGCAAGTATTTAGGACTTCCTGATCATGTAGCAAATAGAAAAAGTGAGATGTTTGCATATATTGTGGAGAAGGTTAGATCAGTTACACAGACATGGAAGCAAAGACATTTATCAAATGGAGGTAAAGAAGTTTTGCTGAAAGCTATTGCTGTATCTATGCCAATATTCTCCATGAATATCTTCAAGCTTCCTAAAGAGATATGTGATGAAATTAATGCGGTGCTGGCCAAATTTTGGTGGGGGTCTGTTGAGAAAAAAGGTTTGCATTGGTACTCATGGGAAAGAATAAGTATACCGAAGAAAGAAGGAGGTCTTGGTTTCAAAGATTTACAAATATTCAATCAAGCTCTTCTTAGTAAACAAGTGTGGAGAATTATGCAAAATCCAAATTGCTTAATGGCTCGTATATTGAAGGCTCGGTACTTTTCTAATGAAGATATATTGAGTGTTAAGGTTAAAAAGAAAGCTTCCTATGCTTGGAAATCAATCTTACATGGTAGAGACCTTTTAAGTAAAGGAATGCGGTATGTTATAGGGGATGGTACTTTGGTTAACATGTGGACAGATCCCTGGCTTCCTACTCACCCTCCACGACCACCACAAGCTAAAGAAAGGCTCAGAGAAACTGTAAAAGTAGGTGATTACTTTGACAGTAACCAAGGTGGATGGAATGAAGAAAGACTAAGACAAGAAGTTGTTGCAGAGGATGTAGAAAAGATACTCTCTATCCGGTTAAGTCCTACGGCTAAACAAGACTTGATGGGATGGCATTACAACGAAGATGGTATATATACTGTTAGGTCAGGGTATTGGTTAGGAACTCATCTACCTACAGATACACCACCTATTCCAGTATATGGGAACATTAACCTGAAAAAACAACTCTGGAAGACAAAAACTCCTGCAAAATTGAAGCACTTTTTGTGGAGAGTTTTATCGAAATCTTTAGCAACAGGGAGTAATCTGAAGCGAAGACATGTGACCCAATATGACCAATGTAGAAGGTGTTGTGCTGCTGAAGAAACAGAGCTACATATCTTCTTTCAATGTCCATATGCTCAAAGAGTATGGAGAGCATCAGGAATCTCTAACTTAACTATAAACAGTCCATCTGCAACCTTGGAAGATAAGATAGAAGCATGTCTTCAAGTTTCTTTATCATCTCGTCTCACACATTTCCAAGATTTACCGTTTTGGATTCTTTGGAGATTATGGAAGAGTAGAAATACTCTAGTATTTCAACAAAAGCATATTCAGTGGAGGAGGTTATTGAGATATGCAAAGGAAGATGCGAGAGAGTGGAGAAATATGGGGAAAGAAGAGGATGTAACACATACACAAATAAAGCCTAATGGTGTCTCGACCACAGATTGGGAAAGACCTCCACAGGGATGGATTAAGTGTAACACAGATGGGTCATTTAAGCAACCAGAAATACCGAGTACGGCAGGATGGGTGTTGCGTGATGAACAAGGGTACTATCATGGGTCAGCACAAGCAAGAGGAAGAAAAGTCCAAGATGCTCTAGAGAGTGAACTACAAGCAATACTAATGGCTTTGCAACATTGTTGGAGTTTAGGACATCGTCAAGTAATCATAGAGAGTGATTGCCAAAAAGCAATATATTTTCTAAACAACCGGAAGCTTCACTTTGGACATTATAATTGGATTAGAGATATTCAATGGTGGGGAAGATGCTTCCAGGGTATAAAGTTTCAATGGATACATAGAAGGTCAAATAAGGTGGCTGATTTATTAGCTAAGAAGATTCCAAATAACACTATGTTTCAATTTTATTACTATGTACCTTTGTTTGTAAATGATCCATTACATATGGATTATACTCTTTCATGTTAAAGTAATAAAATAGACGTTATAAAAAAAAAAAAAAAAGTAAGGTGGTGTTATTCAATGATGTATTTTTTAAGAGTTTAAATCTAAACACAATCCACTGTTGTTCAATTAATGATTCTAAATTATATTTTAAAATTCAGTGTTATTCAATCTATGATTAGAATTTAGGTTTTAAAATCTGGTGTTATTCAATATTTAAGGATTTTAAAATTCTGTGCAATACGAATGGATTTCAAATCATCATTAATGGAGTCTAATGAGTAAATGGCTAAACTCAAAATCTAAAGATTATTGTAGAGATTTTAGAATCCATCAACTTTAACAATCTAAAATTTAGGTGGTGTTATTCAATGATGTATTTTAAAAGAGTTTAAATCTAAACACAATCCACTGTTATTCAATTGATGATTCTAAATTATATTTTAAAATTCAGTGTTATTCAATCTATGATTAGAATTTAGGTTTTAAAATCTGGTGTTATTCAATATTTAAGGATTTTAAAATTCTGTGCAATACGAATGGATTTCAAATCATCATTAATGGAGTCTAATGAATAAATGGCTAAACTCAAAATCTAAAGATTATTGTAGAGATTTTAGAATCCATCAACTCTAACTATCTATAATTATTTGATGGATTGTAAAATATCTAAAATGGATTTGAAATTACTAACTGAATAACACCCGCTAAAATAGCTTTAAAAGAAAAAAAGAAAGATTTGGACTTAACGCCAGATTCCTCGTCGGATGTTGTTTCTTCAAACTTAGAGGCTTGTTCTCAATCCCTAAAGAAAATACAGATTTTAGTTTTCAAACAAAGGTTCGAGATACATTTTGCATCGATACATCACATTACTCTATTGTATCCTCTTTCAAAATTTAGAATTGATGTTCTTAGATCAAGTCAATTCGCTAGAACAACATAATTAACCTCAAATATAGTTATTGTTTGTTATATATCTAAGGATCATCATGCCGGCGTGAACCAAAATCCATTTTATACTTCCAAAAAAGTATCAAACAACAAGGACGAAGAAGATGGAGAAGAAAATCATCTAGTTAAAAGATATGTTTTTTATTGAAATTGAACTTTAGATTAAAGCTACAGACAAAGTGGATCTAAGAGAAGTTCTCAAGAAGAAGAACAAACAAGAGTAGCAGAGAATAAGCTACAAAGAAGGAAGAAGAAGAGACTTGAGGTGTAAGAAATGGAGAAGTAAAGAAGTGTGAATAACAAGGAGGAAGAATGTCAAAAAAGACTTGGGCTGTGTAACTAGAAAAGTTAGTATTGTGTTGTTGTAAGAAAAGTATGCAATTCTAATGAGAAAATAGTTGGAAAAAATAACAATGTAGACATATAAAGATTACTCACTTATCTCTCTATACGAACAAGAAAAGAAACGAGGGAGTAAAGAGTGTGTGGGCTTGTGTAATAATGACACAAGATAAAAAAGAGTGAGTGTGAGAACAAAATCAGAGAGTGAGTGAACAAAGGTAACACAGTGAACCGTACAACTAGAGTTAAGAATAATGCTTTCACAACTTTGTTTATAAGACACTAGGGCCGGGCGGATTTGTATGTAATGTTGAAGAATCAAGTGAGAAATAAGTTGTTTGATAGGGCAAAGCTATTAGTGTGAATAATTTGATTTGAGTGAAGGCTCATAAAATAACAGAATTGTTGAAAGCCCTGTTTTCTAAGAAAGTTAGATGAAATTGTAATCTTTACATCCATTTATGGTTTTAGTTTTATTTTGATGTTTTTTTACTTGTTTGTTTATATCTTCCTCCACCGTGAAAATGTCCGTGAAGTATGTTATTAAAACTTTTGATGTTGTGAACATGATTGCTTACTTAATTGTAGAAATTTATGTTTGCATTAGACGGCTAATAATATTGACTGATTTTAAGTTGAAGGCGTGTATTAGCTTGTACCTTGTGGTGCAAGAAAATAGTTTGACTTTCTCTAAGGTTTTGGTTTTTATCAATTGTCATAATTTAATGGCTGTTCAACATAATTTGTTTCCAGCGTAAAACCAACTTTAGTTGTGTATATTTGTTTGTCAGTTTGTACTATTCAATATATTTTGATCCAATTTAAGCAGAGCCAAAAAGCTGTTTTCATTCAGTTTTTTAATTGGGTTCCATCTCTACAATGTCACCAAATCTTTGGCTTTTAAATGATGAAGAGATTATAAAGATTTCAAATGTACGTCTACGTATTTCGCACAAAAAAATCTGAAAACAAATAGCTCATGCTTGAAGGAAATTCATGTATAAACAACATACATTTTCCCAAATTCTTGCACAATTTATAAGTGATTTATAATGGAGAGGCCTTTAAAATAATGGAATGGAGCAGAGACTTGACGGGCTAAAATTAAGATACTTGAGTAGGCTAAGAACCGAAACCATTTATGAATGTAATGTTATATCACTAATAGTTTTGCTGTAGAGGCAAATATTTATGAGAACCTAAATGAAAGAACTTCAAAATAGTAACAGTGAAATTTAATAAAATGATTTGAAAATTATAATATAAATACCAACCCCCATAAGAGTCTTCAAACAAAAAAGATCTCAAAAAAGAAAAACAGTAGAGTCTTGAAACATAAAAGCAGAAATTGAAAAATGAAGTGGTGGTTGTTTAAGTTTCCTTAGCTAATTCAATCAACTCGTGCTTTCTTCCTTGCCTTCTTACCAGTAGAATCTTCATCTTTGCTTGATGCCGAACTCTCAGCAATTGTAGTATAAGAGAAAACTGACCTAACTAAATCAGGAACTGTTCCTGTATCCACAGTCGGAGGCACCTGCTCTTGAGTGACATTTGGACCTCCCTATTACCAATGGAACGATCACATATATTAGAGAATGCAACCAGCTAAAAGTAAAAGGACCGACATTGGGTAAGAAACAAACATGCTCAACAAAAGCTGCCATAGGTGCAAGCGCACGCTCAGGGAAGATGCGGAAAAATGTGAAAGTCTGGTTCTTTGATGTGAAATTGAAATCATTCAATTTGAGCTGGAAGGTGTAGGTTTTTCCGACGATATCAGCCAGGGACCGAGGCAAGTCGGTGTCAACCCGAGCATCAACACCAATTCCTCGAGGACAAAGAAAACGCATAAAACATGTATCCAAAATAATGAAGCTAGATATGAAATTATTATCTAGTGATTCACTTCATGTCTTACCACAATTTGTGCAGCCTTAGAGGCTTGAATGTTAGTCAGTTTAGCCATCTCCATATCAAAACCAAGGAAGGATGCAGTGTCAGTGTGGTCTGACACAGAGAGTGTGACGCGGTACCTAATGTATATAATGTTAGCGACTGCAACACTGACTCATGTGTTGTCATCAATATAATAAACATAGACAATTCGTTATTTCATAACTCAGAGTGGCTACGACATTGGTTTCATTATGTGAAACACATGTAAAGGAAGAAACCTCTCGTACCAGCTTCTTTGAACACTTGGAACAACCAATATATGACCAACCGTCTTCCTGCTGGATGCCAGTAATTTTAGCCGTGCAGAGGAACTCAATAATCTGAAATCAGCAGATGAAGAGGGTCATGTCAAAACAAACAAAATTTAAACCTACTACAAATAAGGACAAATGAAACATCACTTGAGAGTCAGCAGTGTTGATGAAGTGGTTAAGCTCAGAAACCGTCAGTGGCTCAATCTTTTGGGCATGCACGATCTTGGATGAAGAACTTGATTGGGATGATCCCTCACCAACCAAACTGCAATGACATGGAAAGGATTAGTAGCTAAACAAAGAAGAAGTCTTATTCCAATATATATCTAACGAACAGAAGAAAATAATCCCTATATTTAGTTTTAAACAACTTACGTGTTATACACTTCCTTCCCAACAGCGGTCTCAGAGTCGAAGTAGAGGTGTGTCCCGAAAGTTGCATTCATAAATAGACGGCCTATCAATATGACGTAAATTTTAATCTATAATACGTGTAATTGGAACAGAAGTAATAAACAGAAAACATGATTACCTCCAACTATTTTAGGATTGACGCTTGTGACAAGGATAATTTTGGGTTCTTTCTCATAGCCGTCAAACTTTGAATGGAACGCTACAGCCATTGAATCAAACATTCTAATACAAACGTTCTCACCACTGAAAGGGGTTATTTGAAAAAGAAAGTCGAGTTAAGATTTATGCTAAGAACTACCAATACAACAATAGGTGATTTTGTAACTCAAATTACCTATGCAGGCGCAGAGTAAGCATCACACACTGAGAACCTGCTATAAGGTTAGTGATTGTGCTCCTGATTGCATTCACCTCACCAATAACATCTGCAGAAAAATATGGAGAGCGAAGCTTTAACAAATGCTATGAAAAAAAGAAATCCAACACTCTAGGAAAAGGAACAAACCAGGCAGTTGCTTGCCGGTGTTGGCCAAGTCAAGAAGCTGATTGTATGGGAACAATCAGAAGATTTCCAGAGGTATATCCCTATCACTCTCGGTTTTCTTCTCGAATTTGGTGGCATCAGTGAACCGAATTGTGAATGGGGCATCACACAGACGGAAATTTGTGTTGCTGCGTGTGACATCAAGGCTGCTTAACGTGTAGACAGATCCCTCCTTAAGACGGTCCCTGAACCTCATTTGAAGAATTGATAACACAATTCAAGCGACAAGGTTTGATAAGGTTCAACGAAAAATAACAAAGACAGAGAGAGTAATACTAAAAACCAATAAGAAACCTACACAATTGATAACACAATTCAAGCGACCATGTTTGATTTTAAGCACAGAATGAACTATCATTTTCTACTTCCGCAGAGAATACCTTAAACTACAGATTTTTAAAACTGAGGAAATTCTGTGATATTACAAATCATGCAAACCTTTTTGATTAAGAACACAAATAATACAATTCCATTGTCTAATTCCACCGAGAATACCATAAAGGACAAATGGAAATCAAGATACTTACATTTTCGTCGACGAAAAGCAGATCAACACTCTTCAACTCACCACCTTTCCTCACATTTCTAGCCTCCCAGAACCTCAGCAAACGAACCTCCACAGCGTTAAAGCATATCCCGGCTTTCAAATCTGCAAGAAGGGTGTATGAATTTTCCATGGAGGTATGAAGAAGATAAAAAGAGAAAGCGTTTAGAAACAATTGTAAGTGTGAGATTCATGGGTTTAGAAGGGAGTATTTATAGAGTACGCAGGATCCGTTACTTTAGAGACTTCAAAGAGAAGGATTTAATGGTAGAGTAGTGCCGTAATCATAAACTGGGATTTAAGAATGGGAAACGGAAGGGTATAAGTTTTTTAAAAAATGAAGCAGAAAGATGAACTCTATCATAAGAGAGGCGACAGGAAGGAGAGCAAGATAACCCTAATTTTTTAGCGAGCCCCAAATGAAGCTATAAGAGCCCATCATTAGAAGAAAAAAAATAAAAAGCCCATTTCGGAATGGGACAGGTGGCAATCATTGCCCCCTAAGGAGATAAAAAAGCTTCCTTTATTTATAAAGATTGTAAATGTGTATTGTATGTTTTTATAAGACAATATAATATATTTTATAGTAGTTTCACATCCCAATGTCAGGATTCATCGAGGAAGAAGGTGAGAGAGAGAGAATAGTTGTTTATGGTTTGGTGTTCATGACAACACACTACAATGATAAGGATGAGGATCACAGCTATAAGTGATCCAACGCCGACAAAGTGAAGAGCAGTGCTCCAATGCTTCATTGTGAGGATAAAATGATTTTTTTTGGCTCTGGTTTGTTCTACGTTGGTCACTATAGGAAGAGAACATCTATGAAAGGAAAGGAAGAACATATAGAGTTAAGAAAAATGCAGCTAAACGAAGAACTTAGCCAAGACAAAATCATGTTATAAAGATACAAAGTTTTTTTTCTTCAAGAGGTTATGACCAGAATGCCCTGAAACCAGTTCCTTTTACTCTGATTTACCTGCTACTGTAGATCATGTTTTATAAATACTTGTTTTAAGCTACTTGGACTAGTTTATTTTCCAACCCTTATATATGGTTTCTACACATATGAATGAACAAGAGTATACACATTGAATAAAATGCTTGTTTTAAGCTACTTGGACTAGTTTATTTTCCAACCCTTATATATGGTTTCTACACATATGAATGAACAAGAGTATACACATTGACATAAGTTACAAGAACATTACATGGATAAAAACAACCCACATTCTCAAGTGTTAGGGCATTGTGTGTGCTTTGGTAAATGTTCAGCAGAGATGGTAAAACTGAATATGACCTTGATTTTTGAAGATAATAATAAGTGTAAAAACAAGAATATGCTAGAAACACCAAAAATAAGAATGAAAACAAAACATAAATATGCTTTCACATTTAAATTAACAGAGTTTTACGATGATCCATCACAATTCTTGTCAAATCTCTATAAAATATGAATCATACACAAATTAAAAAAATGATAGATAACCACTCTAGTTATAAATTATATAGAGAATGAAATATTAACAAGAGCAGTTGTGAAAAAGAAGGTTTGTTGTTTAAGATCTGATTAGTGGCAGCAATAGATAATTGAGTATCATGAGGAAGACTTGAGTCCTGAAATATATATTTGATGAAGATTGGAAAACAAAAAAAATTCTAATTCAAATACCTGAAATGACAACTTTTTTTCCTGTATCATTATTGGATGATTTTGATATACCACGATTTTTTTTTTCAAGCACACTCATATACCGACCATGGCGTCCGACGTTTTGGTTCTTTGGCCATCTATGAGGATTTGTTTTCTTTTTACTCCACATCCGTTTAGAACTTCTTCTTGATTTTCTTCTTCCACAAGTTCAAAATCTGAAGAGTGGACCTTCCATAATGAACTTTCACAAGTTCATCTTTCTTTACCACCAATTTTTTCAAACAACTGAGAGGCAGCTTCATCTGCACGCAACATCAGTTCTACATGTTCAACAGCAACAAACGCAATCTCACGGAAAGTATGACATATATGACTATTTCGCTTTCCGATCGCCTATTTCACTGTATCATTAGGTGTCACTATATGATAGAAGGATATGGTTCGTGATTTAGCCTCATTATTCCATTGATTCAAAATGTAAATATGTGCAATTTTTCTAATATTCTTCTTGGTCAACACTTTTGGTGCATGAAGGCATAAGATTCCACCAAAACAAAATTTCTTGCAACTACAATATATCGTTTTATTTGCAGTAACATAGTTAACCAAATGATTTCTTCCAACACCACGAAAAGATACATTGTATTCATCACTCACCATCTCAGACTTATTGATTCTTTTGGTAACATAATCACCTATAGCTATGAATTCCTTCTCAAACAAGGTAAAGGCTTCTGTTGTATACACGTCCAATGCATGTTGTAACATTTCTACAAGAGACGATAATACCAGCGAGGTATGCATCATACTAAAGTTAGCAGTTAATTATTTAAATCACCAATCATCCAACACTCTGTGATAGTGTTTAAAGAAGCGCAACAATTTATAACCACGCTTCAAGTAATTTTTCAAAATATTATTCATACTTTCGCTATGCTGTGTGCTTATCATATCGACTGTAAAAGTTTGACGATAATATACCCTTGTCCATATTTCTCTTAACTCAAACAAATCTTTCAACCATTTTTTCTCTGTCAATCCATGATTTTCAAGAATTTCACTTCATGCCGATAATTACTCTACTTAATTCTCATGGTCATATATACATTTTCCAAAGTCTGTGGCAAAATGGTTTGGTCCATGAAATACATAACTCAGGCTCTTTGCAGCATTTTGGTAAATATGCTAAACACATAACCTATGTTTTGTTTCTGGGAAGAATTTTCCTATTGCATTTTCCATTGTTGCACATTGTTCTCTAATGGTTGTTTGAGGTTGTTCTCAAACATTTCTCCAAGAAAAGTCTGAAAAAGCCACTCAAAAGATTGTGCCATTTCATCATATAAGAGAGCAGCACCAAACACAATAGTTTTCTTATGATGATGGATTCGGACAAATGGAGAAAACGGTCTATCATATTCGTTGGTATTGTAAGTTGTATCAAAGAAAACAACATCTTCATAAATATTAGTGATTATATCATCCTCATCAAGTTGCATTGAGTAAGAAAAAGATGAATCATCTTCTTTCTTTTTCTAAAAGTATTCCAAAACCTCTCCAGCATCTCCCTTTCTTTTGGTCCCTTTCTCTTGGTCCCAGTCACTTACGGTATATGTAATTGTGCATGTCTTTATCTATAAAACCCAGATTTGTTCTCTCCCAACTTCTCTACTCATTATTTCAATGGTTGCTTTTGCTGAAATTCCTGACATCATCAGCATGTTGTTGAGAGATAGAGATTGCTCGGTTAGTACTCATCAATTGTTTCATAGGTGTCCTCACTAAATCATGGTTATGATTTGGCTCAAAAGTCATAATCTTATATCTTCCGTTACTCTAACGGTAGCATGACATGTGAGCTTTACAATCACATCTAGTGGTTGGTCGTTAAAATGATTTCTTGTCCTTGGGTTTCTATCTAATCCCCTCTTTTGAGCATACATAAACCATCCTTACTAACTTTTTTTTTTGCTCGAATTCCGTTGTCTCCTTACGTCAAAACCATGATTGCCTTTGTACTCTCTATAAGGTTTACATGCAGACTCATCAGAACTAAACTCCATTCCACTGCAGAGTTCATAATATAATTATTTTGATTTTCCTTGTTTGTCTCTAAAGCATCAACATCATCAGTCTGAATATTATCCTCCATGTAGTCTATGTCCGTTTCTTCATCGAAATCACTAACTGAAACATCGTCATCACTAAATGGCCTCTTCCTCAGCTAAAAACTCATCCAAATTAACAAACTTATTTCATCTGAGATTTGCAAACTAAATTTATCCTGAGTAGCGGAAACAGTTTCTTAATCACTTGAATGACTACTCTACATTGCAACTATATAGCAAAATACAAACACCAATCAGAAATTATATTACATAACATAAAAAAATTAAACCTTATTCTAATGGAAATTTTAAATAGCATATGTTTTAAAACATATCAATTTAATGCCAATTATAAAGTTTTATCATATATCACGACATGACCTTATTTCAATGATAAACAATTTAATTTAATGCCTTCCCACGACCGTACAAGAGCAATGTAGTCCTAAGAAGTAAGAGAATCAATAGCTACAATTTAGTATATTAGTTGCAATTTTTCAATCTAGTATGTGTAGTTCTTTTTCTGTTAAAGATGAATAGTTAAATAAATTTGAATAATTCTTAACTCCAATTTTTTTTATAACAAATATCATAAATACAAACACACTCGCAACATAAGCGACAAAGCATCCGTGACCTCCTCTATTCCTTTTTGTTTCTCCTATTGCCATGATCATACATATATGTGATTAAAAAAGATCTAACAAAGATTAAAATTACATGATCCTGAGATATATATAACAAACACTAATTATACCTGAGGTTAATTATGTTGCTTTAACGAATATACATGATCTAAGAACATCAATTCTAAATTTTGAAAGAGTATAAAAGAGTGTAACACGACGTACCGATGCAAAACGTATCTCGAACCTTTGTTTGAAAACTAAAATCTGTGTTTTATAGGGATTGAGAACAAGCTTCTGAGTTTTAAGAAACAATAGCCGGCGAGGGATTCTAATGAACGGTGTTAAGTCGACGTCTTCCTTATTTATTTTCCTCTTTTTTTCTTTTAATTTTAATATCTTTTTAACTCATTCTACATGGTAATTTGATTGGTAATCAATGGTGAGGTAAATTATAAGATTCACCTTAGGGGTGAACCCGAGTTTTATTCTTTTAAACATAAGCTAAAATCATTTGAAGTTATGCTTGGAAATGTCTGATTATAAAATATTTGAAATTATGCTTGGAAAGGTGCATGGGTCAGATGGAATGACTGCACTGTTTTTCCAACATTCTTGGAATATCACTAAGAAGGATGTGATGTAGTTGTTTAATAATTTCCTGTCTTTTGGGGAGATGGATCCGAGGCTGAATATCACAAATATTTGTCTAATTCTGAAGACAGAAAGGCCTACAAGGATGATG